CATTGATGGGGCTAGGGATTGGTTGGACAGAGTCCTGGGAGTGGATGATGGTGTGTAGCTTATAAATTGAACCCTGTTTTAGGTTGAAAATTTTGTTTGACTAGAGTAGATGATTGGTATCTTTGGAAAAGTTACCTTGCGTGGTCTGGGTGGTAATTTTGAACTTTGTAGTGACCTACAGATTCCACACTTGGATAGAATTGGTTGTAACCTCATACGTCCTGAAAAGATAGGGTGGAGTGAAAAACTACGAGTAATTGTGACTCAGTTGGGTTTGCTACTGAACTAAGGCACACTTAGATATGTTTTTAAGTTTGCTTGACGATTATGATAGCTGTAAGGTGACAGTAGCTTTTAGATATGCAGATCTTGTCTCTGTACCTCCAGCTGGAGTTAGTGTCCAAGGAAGTTCGTGGACAGGAAGAGACGCGGATCATTAGGTACAAAAATTTATGCATAGGACGCTCTACGAACACGAACCATGAGTTTTACTAGAAGGTATAATCTCAGTAGAGTTTAGCTATGTCATATAGCTTAAGTGGTAGTAAACTCCTTTAAAGCCCTCTCAAAATCAGTTTGCCCCTAATGTTGGGTGTCAAAACCACTTTGCCTTCTTTTGTCACTTAAAAGCAATGCATGACCGTTACAAATTATTAAACTCTAAAGTGTCCCACTTTCTACCAGTGAGAGTTTTTGGACAAAAACCACCCTGTCCTAATTAATCCCTTGTTCATATATAAACTAGGAGGGGATCACCGCGCAAATGCGCGGTGGACAGTTCTAAAATTTACATGCCCAATTATGCCCTTTTTACAAAATGTCTGTAATGCAATCAAGGATCAAAAAAATGAACGGTGTGAAATTTTAATCTTACCTAATTATTGCCCTCTAAAGATAAATTTTCTATGGAAAAAAATATTATTGCAATTGTAAATGATTTTAAACTATAAAAAGTTGCATTTACAATTTGTCTAACTGTGTAAACTTTGACACTTGTTCACAGTCAAGGAATTCATAATAAATAAATAAAACACTAAAATTAGTATTGTAGAATCTCGAAACATGAACTTGAACTTCCATGATTCCGATAAATACATATTTTAAGTTAACCAAAAATAACAACTTTCTGTCATTTGTACTCGTCCCAGAATTGAATGAGCAACTTTTGAAAGAAACTACTGAGAACCTGCCATGTATTATAACAAGAAAGAAAGTAAGATATAATCCATCAAAATTAGTTTACTGCTATAAAACCAAGTTCAAAGTAAATCAAGAGCCTTGAATGATGCCAATAATCACAGGACAAATTCAACAAACATCTGCACTTTTGGTTACTAATAGTCTCATACAAAATTCGTTACCCCTTCTATTTATCAACCCATTTCACAAGCAAGAAACTTTTTTTTTTTTTTTGGGTACCTTGTTTTGGGTACAGTAGTTGTCAAAGTCCAGAAATGAAAAGATTCTTACAGGTAAGCTAAAGTGTCTTGCTGGGTAACCTGAGTTCTTACCAAAGTGAAAGTATTAGATGTGCTAGATCCCTGGAGATGATATGTAAGTAAACTTTTCTACAACTTGATCATGAAACTGCGCAATTTACACAAAATGCCAATGGAAGATAAGGTGAAAAAGGAAATAAAATGATCATGCAATCAAATAGGCTAGGAAGATCCTAAAACGTAAAAAAGAAGCAGAAACTTCACCAGAGAGGATGTCTTTATATTCTAATGACATACTCCAACCCAAAAGCCAAAATACATGCAACTCTAAATAAGGTCATGTAATTCAGCTTTTATTTCCAATAAAGTTCATATTACTCCAGCATCAAGAATCTATAAAATTTTCAGGTGTAAAGAAAAATAGTGAAGGCAATATTCACAAGTGTAAAGAAAAACAGTAAAGGCAATATTCATCTAAAAAATTGGTCTTCAATTAATTTCAACATTGCTCCTATTCAATATTCACAGGGTTTACATGGATTGTTGAGGCTTTTGCAACAACTTGTTTAATCAAACTTTTGATATATGTTCTATTCCCATAGAAAGAAAACACAAGTACATGTGTCCATTAAAAACCCCTGAAATGGAATGCAAAACTCTAAATATATAGGGAAGGCAAATAATAAATAAGTTTCTATGAGTTGCTGTCCATTTTATCTTTTTTTGTAAAATCTCAAAATTAGTCCAATGTTGGTTATAAGGTTTTGCTAATCTCAATATTATTAAGAACACCGGTTTCAAAGCAGATTCATCAAGTACACTATTCCCTGATTGTCACAGTCAGTATTAGTTTGTTAATCATGGTTAATTGGGATATACTTCACACACTTCACATGGTTTGAAATTAACTACTTCAACTGTTAACAGCCTAAGGTTTTAAGCCAAGCATTGAATAAGTTCTGTAGATAGCATGCTTAGCAAAGCAAGCATGACATTCCAGGCTTTAATCAAACAATGTTGATCCAAATCCAAAAAAAATAAAAGAAAATTACCTATGAAATACCTATGGAATGGGGGTAAAGGTAGTAGAAAATTACAGTTGAAAATTTAATCAAGAGAAAAAAGTATACATAAAACAGGAATGGAGAATCCAGTGGTTTTTAGAGAGAAAGAAAGAAAGATAAGAACAGAAGGATTTTTTGAGACAGAAGCCTCGAGTAGGAGAGGATTAGGAAAAATTTTTAAATGGGAATCAATTAGTTTTCTCAACATTGAGCCCAATATTTTTGTTGCAGATATAGGAATTTATATTTCATCCACCAGCAAAGAGGGAAAAATTGTTTGCTGCATAGAAAGAAGAGGGAATAGTTTTTTTTTTTTTTGATAGAAAGGATTGGAACACTCTAACATGAGATAAATCCAACAAGACATCTTCCCATCCATTAAATGCCAATCTCACAATTTATCATTTGTTCATTATCTTGCTCAAAATAATCATTTACTTTTTAACCGCACATACACATAAAAGGAAGCCTTGTTCCATTTTTTCTACTTGACCAGATGTTTAGGAAAAAAAATAATTGAAGCACAAGATAAAAGAGACAAAAGAAAAAAACAAACATGAAAAATGCTTACTTCTCTAGTTCTTAAAAACCCAGGGATAAGGAATGCCCTTTGTGAGTTAGGAGTTTAACAAACATTTTGCATGGAAGAAAAGACATGAAATAACTAAAAGGAAAAACCTACCAATAGTTGCTGTTCATTCTTCTTCTATCACATAACTGCCATTAAAACAAGAAGCGAGTTTTAGAAGAGGGAAAAAAAGGAAACTATAAAAAAAATTATTAAGTTAATAATCACTTCGTGAATAAAATAATGTTGGAACATCCATTAAAATCACAATCATTTCGTCTTCACTCTTCTACATCTTCTTCCACTTGAAGAAAGAAAATGAAAAACACAGCCATCTCTCCAAGTCCAACATAATCTACTAAAAAAATATGTTGAAAAGGTCAGCTAAATCTTTATAAGAGAGAGATAAAAAAAGAAAAGAAAACCATGACTTGCATTCCGTATAGTGATTGAGAAGTTTAGAAAAATTTTTAGGAAAACAAACACAAAGACATAACATGCTTTTTTTGTGAGAAAAAAATCACTATAGGATGTACCTTAATAATAACATATTCATATAAACAGATGGAAACACATCTATTCCAAACATAATCCATTTCAAGAGACATCCTTGCAAGGAAGTTAAAACAACCCTCCAGATAATGTTGGAGGAACATCAGTCTTAAAAAAAATCAAGTGCGGACATTATTACATGAAGTAAGCAATAAAAACTGGTACCAGAGAGCTAAAACTAAATATAAAAACTTGAGCTTCATAGGCAGTAACAAGCATCTAGCAGCTTATATTTACAATGGAAATACTTCGTGCAATAATTAACACCTTCAATTTACCAACTAATTTCACATGCATGATGAAAGTTATGAATCTATTCACTGTTTTCTGTCTCTGTTTTATGTATTTATTTATTTTTGGTTAGTTGCATGTACATAATCTGAGGTTCATAGTGTTTCAAACAAAAATCGAGATTTATTTCCTCTTTGCAAATTGAGCACAATAATTTTCTCTTACCTATCTCCATATTAATCTCTAATTGTTTGAAATGTTTCTACAAACCCCCCATTTTTTTTAAAACAATACTTCAATATTATTAGCACAAATCACAAGTTACAAATAGGGGACAAGACCTGGCCTCCGGAGCGCATGCAGAGCTAACCGTCGGCAAACCCCTTTTATTTAATGATGGATTTCTGTTTTCATGCCATGGGAACATTTTTTAAAGGAGATCAAATACATCCGGAATAAATCCACTTTAAAAGCACTATTTCTTGCTTATGCATATATACCATAAAAAAAAAGGAACAACAAAGCAGTTAAAGATGACTTTGTATGCAGTATGGGAACGAGAGCCTCCTATCAATTTTCAAAAGAGATACAGAGAACAACAATCACTGTTAACTTCAAAGTCCTGAAAAAAAAAAACACAGCATCTGAAGATCTTCATCACAGTAAAGGTGAGTAAAAAGATAGTTTACCGCGGCACAAAAAGATAAGAATTAGTTTCTTCACCTCAATTATAACTAAGAATGCACTTGTTCACTATACTATTACCCCATATGTTAAACCTTACACATTGACAAGCACAAATTGGAAACAGTGACAGATTTTTAAATGCATCTGTGACATCTAATGTATCAGATGAAATTCATATACGCTGTTCAGCAAGCAAAGATAACACTATCTGTCAGATACCACCACAATTTGAACATCAGATGGACATTAAACACATGAATCTTACAATAAATGCCATCAAGCAGACAAATGCAGTGTAAAATAGAGAAGTGATGTCAGAAACAAACTACCTGATGCCCATTCCATTCAGCATTTGAAGGCACGCCTAGGGCTGGCGGAAATATCATTAATTGATACTGAAGAGCAGGGTGAGGCACTTGTCTAGGCAGCACCATGCAATTGAGCAGATCCACCGGTCACAAAACCCGAAGTATGGTCATTTCCTGCTACAGAAATAGGATCAGGATTAGATGTACCCCAATAATAACATATTCATATAGAGAAAAGAACCTTTAAAGTTGCTTAGAAGAAAGAAGAATTCATAAAAAAAAAATTAGCAATAACAGAAACAAGAGAAGAAATCTACTGAGAGAGTATAAAAGCAAGTCTTACCAACAAAAATCAAACAATAAAAATAATGTCACTGATGAAATTTCCCCAAAGGGAACAAAATACTGTATATATATGTGGAAGTAAATTCTAGAGAAGTTTCTATGCATTATTTTCCAATTTTTCTTTTTTCTAAAAATGCAAAATTGGGTCCAACATCAAAGGTCAATACTATGAAGCATAGGGATACTATTTTCTGAACATATTTTTTCCAGCCAAAGATCAAGCCAAGTTTCTTCAATAATTTAAAAGAGCAAAGACGGTATCTTCATAGTAGATTACATGGATTTTGCTTTTGAAACTTCATTTATCTAATTCATATAACTATGTATCTCATGAATCATGAACTGGTGAAAACATCTTCAAGGAATTTAGTCATAATAATGATTTCACTTTGCACATTAAAACCACAAAACCAGAAAAATCGACTATGAAATAAAGGTTTCATCATACAACTTCCCAAATCTTGGCATTACCAAGAATACCAGGTAGTTTAAATAACAGATTCGTCATGTTCACCAGCCAAGGAAAAAAAAGAAGATAGAGAAGAAAAAGATACTCATATCTAATTTACTCTGACAAAGACAATAAAACCCAAAACACAAAACACTGGAAGAAATTTGCTCATTCTTCCAATCACTTTCACCTTTATCCTTTCGCTGACAAAAACCTCAATAAACAAAAATAGGCTAAATTAGGTGAGAGAAACTGTTTATAGAAAAAGACTATGGTTTATAGCATAAATAGTAGAACACAAATAAATATTACCAGCTTTAACTACTTCTTAGAGATGTCAACTTCAAGTCTTCATATTCCTTCCTGTAACAACAACTAATAATATACTCAGAAAAGTAACACCAAAAGAACAAAAAAAAAAAAGGAAAAAAAATCGTCCATCAAATCCTAAATTGGGAGTGGAAGGGAAAAAATTAAATTAGAATGATACAACAAAACTTATGTTTTTCTTTACCAGTTGTTTTTCACGGGTGGCCATTTTTTCTCCCAGCTCCAGAAAAATCCAAGAAAGGCAAGAACGAAAAAGGGAACAACAAAACACCAAGTAAATAAATATCTAAAAGCCAGCTAATCATCAATTATTCATCATCACAGACCATATCAAAAGTTTTTCTTCTAATTAAAAATAAAAAATCAATGATAAAACAGAAATGAAATGGAGACATTAATCATGGAAAGAAAGGGGAAAAAAAGTACCATATCTGCATTCAAGAAATTTGCACCAGATAGCAGAGATGAAATATTGACCTTCCCCTTCTTCATTGTTTCACAAAAGGACACGAAGGAGATGGGAAAAAAAAGATTTGCTGCTTTTAGCCAAGAAAATAGAAATATTAGGAAAATTTTCAGAAAAATAGAAAAAATTAGCCCTAACTACTCGAGGGAGGGAGGAAGATGAAGAAGAACAAGAGGGAGAACCGGGAATAGAAGGGGAAGAAGATTACCAGCCATTTTCTGTCTCGAGCCCATCGTCCATCAAATCCTAAGCACCCACTCCTCAGAAGAAGAAAAAAATCTAGACCTTCCAATTGAGATTGCAATCTCTGCCAAGTACAATCAAATGCCAGAAATTGAGGGGAGACCTCTGGGTCTCATGGAAAAAATGGAGTTTTGTCTAGGAACCGGTCTTCAAGAGCTCTTGACATTGATTGATGCTGCTATGTTTTGAATAAAAGACAGAAAGAAAGAAGAGGGAATTTTGTCCAGAGGATAATAGCAATAAGAACCGGTCTTTTAGAGTTGTTGACATAGACAAATGCTTCTGTGCTTGAATAAAAGAGAGAGAAAGAAAGCGGAGAAAAAAGTGGTTGAAGATTCATCCACATACGACGCCGTTTGGTTGATCAAAGGGCAAAAAAAAAAAGGAGACAAACCGGTCCAGCATCAGCTCCACATCATCACCACTGACCAATCCCCACGCCACACATGGGCGGACGACCATCCTAGGTGGCAGGGAGCTTCCCCTCTTTATCTATATGTTTAATGAGGGCTTCATCGTCTCCTTCTTATGGACTGGGAGGGGAACTCTGTGCAATGCACAGTGAAAGCATGCAAATTGTCCAATCCGGTCCATTTAACAGACAAATTGTTGTGATGATGGATGTTGAATTATTTGGGGCCATACAATTAGGAGGCATGTAATTAGTAAAAAAGAATTATTGAATTAAAGAGGTCAGTGAAAATTGCAATTCAGTGTCATCAAGAATACAACTCACCATAGCTGGACAAAATTAGGAAGCACATAATAGGTCCAATATACATAATATGAAGCATTGAAATAGAAATTGTTCACTGTCTTTACAAACAAAACCTCTTATTTAAAATGCAAGGGGCGCGCATAATGTCTCCAATTATATGTATCCAAAAATGAAGCTAATAAATAATCATCGCAGGTCCGTAGGACAGACAGAGAGATAACTCCGATCTTCTTTCACTCTTCGGGCTTTGACTCATTGCTAGGCAAAACAAGCCAAACAAATCATTAAACATTCTCTCAAATAATTTACTTAAGTTGAACTCAGGCCACACAATCAAATAACAGTAAGTATAATGATATCTGATTGGGCCTAGAACAACAAAGCCTAAAGAAGTGTTAGATTTTATAAATGAGGTCCTTTAGTCTCCATATCTTGACTAATAACCTACACATATAACAACAGCAACATATTTCAAGCAAAGTGAAGACAATTCTCTTAAGTCTTAACAAATTTAGCAAGTCGGCAAAATGTTGAACTCAAAAGTCATAGATCAGGAAAACCCCATCAATCCATTTTAGTTGTGAGGCGTAAAGATAAGTTACATTAAATGGATTGCTGAGTTTTTCAAATACTCTAAAAGTATTCTAAAATGTACTTCAAAAAGTAATCTAATTTTTTTTTAATATTTAAAAAATATTTCAAAATATACTATAAAAATTCTGCTACAGTAAAATTTTTTAAAAACACCCCCAAAAACAACTAATCCAAACGGGTAGTTCTAGTATGGTAAAAGGTGCCAAAAAAGAATATTGAAATGGTCAAATAATAGTGAATTCCCCAAAGAATAGGAAACTTAAAACGACCAATGCCTATCTTAGCGCCAAGTAATCCAAGGGTCTTTTCTTGAAACTCAATCTCTAGCTTTTTCTTAACATTTTGATCATTATAGGAATGACCATAATGGTCATAATTTCAGTATCATTATTTCAACTTGCACTTCTTCACACTACTTTCTCCTTTTCTTTTACATCCCTCTTCATACTGCCAATGCCTTTCATCCTTTTTCCAATAAGTTTATACCTATAAATATTGAAATTCAAGAAATGAACCCAAAAGGTTAAAGATGAAATATACAAATTTATTACCAAGTAAAACTTACTCTAACAACAAGTGTAATCAATCAATAAAAATAATCAATGAAAAGAGACTAATAGCAGAAACCTCCCCTGACTTTTATAGTAATAGCATTGACCTCCCCTATCAATTTTGAAATAGCATTGACCTCCCCTATCAAAAGTTGGAGGCAATTTAATAGGCAAAAGTGGGTCAATTTACTAAAGTACCCCTGACATGATTTAATTTTACCAGATGAATGTGATGAGTACTTTCATCAAACCCAACAAAACGTTTGTTAATAAAAAATACACTAAATTAACTATTTCTGCAAAGTTTAACTAATTAACTAAATAACTAGTAATCTAATTAATTAATAACTAATTATCTAATTATTAATAGTTATTAACTAATCAAACTATTTCTGCATAGTTAAACTAATTAACTATTAACTAATTATCTAATTGCCCTCAAGGGCTTGGTCTGGTGGTTGAGGTTGCTGAAGATGGAGCCTCAGGTCCCTGGTTCGACCCATGCTGCCAGCAAGTTGCTGAGGGTGGTGAATAGTCTGCGGGGTCCACTCCCTGCAGGACACACCTAAAAAAAAAAGAAAAAAACTAATTATCTAATTAACTAATTAACTAATTAACTAATTAACTAAAGCTATTGTCTGTCCGAAATTAACAAATTATTTGCATGTTAAACTAATTAACTAATTAACTAACTAATTATCTAATTAATTAATTAACTAATTTTTGTTTATCTTATTAACTAATTAACTAAATTTGTTGTCTATCCGAAACTAACAAACTATTTGCATGTTAAACTAATTAACTAATTAACTGCTTAACTAATTAACTAATTAACTAAAGCTGTTGTCTGTCTGAAACTAACAAACTATTTGCATGTTAAACTAATTAACTAAAGCTATTGTCTGTCCGAAACTAACAAACTATTTGCATGTTAAACTAATTAACTAATTAATTAACTAACTAATTAACAGACTATTTGCATGTTAAACTATATGTAGTACGCATTACCTATTTAAAGTATTGACTCTTTATGGGTATTTTAATTTCAAACATTTAATTTATGATAAAAATATCAATGTTTGTAAGTAAAATTCAAAAAGTGTTACAAAAAATATCAATATTCTTACTTTCAAACATTTAATTTATGGCCCTATGCCCCTCCCTTTTTGTAAGAATATTACTGTAACACTTTTTGAATTTTACTTACAAACATTGATGTTTTTATCATAAATTAAATATTTGAAAGTAAAATAACCATAAAGAGCCGATACTTTAAATAGGTAATGCGAACTGCATATAGTTTAACATGCAAATAGTCTGTTAATTAGTTAGTTAGTTAATTAGTTAATTAGTTAAGCAGTTAATTAGTTTAACATGTAAATAGTTTGTTAGTTTCGGACAGACAACAACTTTAATTAATTAGTTAATTAGATAAATAGAAATTAGTTAATTAGTTAATTAATTAATTAGATAATTAGTTAATTAATTAATTAGTTAATAGTTAATCAGATAATTAGTTAATAGTTAATTAGTTTAACTATTAACTAATTATTAGTTAAGCAATTGTCAAGCAAATAATAATTGTCAAGCAAGAAGAGGGCAAAATTGGAAGAAATTTCTTATCTCACTTCTACAAAAGCTGTCAGGGAGGTTTCTGCAACGAATTGTTACTGTTCAGGGGAGGTGAATGCAATTTCTAAACCTAGAGGGGAGGTCAGTGCAAATATCAGAAATCTCAAGGGAGGTTTCTGCAATTATCCCTAATCCAATTGACTATATTTTCTTGGCATTTTTGCAATGAGAAGCATAGATTTTATACTTTCCAGCAGCTCATGTATACTTGATCTTTTGTTTAAAATCCAAATCACCCTTAGCAAGAGACCACTGTTCTTCTGCACTTTTTCGTGCCCACAAATCTGCAATCTTGACTGACTGGCGTTGAAAATACTATCAATAATAATCTCCCAAAAACAAAAAACAAAAAACAAAGAAGTTAGTATCAGTACTAATATCTATTATGGTCAAATAAACACACTATAAGGCAGCCAAAATATGGTAAATTTAGTTGGAACTCACAAACAAAGTGCAGGGTACTAAATATTGAGATATATAAATTACATGCATAGAGATAATGCCACCACTTAAAAGAATAGAACAGCATTACCTCAAAGATTTAGATACATCACAACAGATGGAATTAAGATGTAAATAATTACACTTCCAAAGAGAATACCTTAGGTGATATTGTAGATCAAGTTTGTCTAAATGAGCGAACCTTAATGTTGCAAAATATATGTCAAAAAGCAAATATACACAGGAGACTAATCAACTTGCACGCAGAACTGAGTTCTTTCGCTGTTGTTTTGGATCCTCCTCTCCGTGGTTCCCCACCCCTATTGCTCTTCATTGGTCAAGGTAATAACAATGAATAGCAGAAGCTAACAGCAAAAAATATTTCTGATTAGTTTAGGTTACTCAATAATTTTTTTCTTTTTTTTTTGGGAGATTGAAAGGCAACAGATGTCAGTCTCATATTTTATGAGTTCTAGAAACCAATTCGTGAGGTATGATACAGTACTAAGGAAGTTGGTTTTGTGTTTATAAACATGAAAAAACTCCTATAAAGAGACCTTTCATCCGAAACATATGTGGCTATTATGAATGCAATGACCTACTTAAGCTAATAATCAAAATTGAATGAAATTCGTGCTGTAAAGTTTAAATC